GACTTTTGTTTTTTTTTCAATGGATCTGCACTAATGTAATCACAGTGAATTATCTTTTGGAGCTTTTTGGATCTCCTCATACAAAAATGCTGAATAATGACTTGATACTTTTATGTATGTCAACTGAGAGGGCTTTAAATTCTCTATTTTCATTGGATGCCTGAAATTTGACCTTCAAAATTACAGCTTTATTAAGCTTGAAATCCAAATGTATTTTGAGTCCCTGGTTCAATGCTTTTTGCCAGAGACTCTTCCCAATGTTCTTTTTTCATTGTTGTATTCTCTTGTCTAACCTTTCGTAACTCAGAAATATAGGTTTTATTAACTGACCCATTTCCTTTTTAGCCTTCATATCTATAATTTATGTGACTTCTTTAAGCAGTGAAATCATCATGAAATGGATGTAGGGTTGTTCAACCTCTATCACTTTAGGAGCTGTGCTATATATATATATATATATATATATATATATATATATATAGAGAGAGAGAGAGAGAGAGAGATCTATATCTCTATCTATCTATCTATCTATCTATCTATCTATATATATATATATTTTTTTTCCATGTTCTTGGTAGTGTGGTTTGAACCTAGGCCCTTTTCATTGAGAATAGGCACAGCCCTTTGTTTAGTTTTTATGCTGAGACAGAGCATCACTAGTTGTTTATGAATAATTGGTAGCCAAACTGGATTCAAACTCCCACAATGCTAGGATCATACCAGTCAACACTTATGAGAGGAAAACTGATTGTTATTTCTATAGAAATAACATCATTACATACTGAAAATGTGAATTGATATGGAATAGATATATGGATGCTTTTTTATTCATCAAAGTTCTTTAACGAGTTTATTGCAAGATTATATTGAAGATTCACAAAAGAGAACAAATTAGTTGAGTTGGAGAACTGTTTCATCAGATTTCAATTTGTGTCAATAAGACTATTAGTGAGAAACCAACGACTGGGTAGTAATCAAAGACTCATTCGCTTCTATTGTGACTGTGATCTTCAAGAATGGGCAAAAAGTGCTGTATCCATTCTTTCCTTATTTCCTCACATGTTAAGGACAGAATTTTAATTTCTTAATGTGGTCCAAGTCCTTCTCTCTATACTGTTAATATATATTCATGATGCTTTAACTGAAAATAGCAAAACGTGTTATATGTAAAATTGCATTTTGACTTTGGTAGAAAATTATTTTCATAAAATGAATTCTAAATTAAATTTGGTTGTTTTTCCTGTGAAAAGTATCATTAGTACATTGTTGTACAAATGAAGGATGGTGTTATTGAAAGAACTTGTCATTGCTTCACCCAGTTACAATTTCTGTTCCATTTTGTTGGCCCTTAAGTATCAGATGAGAATACATATGGACTAATTAAGTATGGAAGGAAGTGATTTTTTTTTTTTGCCTAGAGTATAAGGCCATGAAAACACATCCTTCTGATTCACTAGAAGTGCCATAGGCACCTTTGCAGTCATATGTGGAAGATGTCAAGGCCAAAACATTGACATCACTTACATACAGGAGTCACCACATAATTTTAGGCTGAAGAACCACTGATGTGAACAGGAATTCCTGCACTGAGCTCTAATGTAGAAGAAACAGACACTGGCACTGCATTCTAATCACTAGAGGTTTTATAATCTGTCAATTTGATGACAGATGTGTTTTAAAAGTGTCCTAATAATTAATATTTCTTACAAAAATATCAGACTCTAGAAACTTCCGATACTCCTATAGAATTTCTAATGAAACATCAGAAACTGTAACATTATTGGTAGAAAACAAAGGACATATTTTCTACATAGGTGTTTATTCATAATGAATAATGCCCAGTATACGGTGCAAACAATGTCATGTTTGGATTTCAGATATATTTCAGCTGCAACAAAACCTGAGCTGAGTTTGCCTTGGGACTCTGGAAAATTAGAGCAGGACTAGAGACAAAAATAGAACTTGCTTCTTCACTTGCTAACTTTTCCCAGGGAAGTGCTAAGAGAGAAGCAGTGTGGAATGTCTACCCTGTCAGTCTCCCAAGGTGAGGAACTGTGTTCATTTTTTGTTTAGGGCACAGATGTTTCCTTTCAAATTTTTCAGGAAAGCAAATCCCAAGGATAGAGAAACCGAGTTTCTGCCTGTGCCATCTTTAGGTGGTCCTGCTTCTGAGCTAGGTTCCCGAAGTGTAGTTCACAGACCTCCTCAACCTCAACAGCAAGCTTGTCCTGGCAGATGAGATGGGAGATATGCTGCCTTAGTTGGCTGGTGTCTTGTTGAGTGCCAGGAAAGTATCTCCTTTTTTCCAAGGAGAGTAAAAACTGGTTCTGCCCTTTAGGCATTTCTGAGGCGGGATCACTAGCAGCTCCATCGGAACAGACCGGCTTCCCTGGCTTCCAGGCCCCAGGGCAGGCTCCAGGCAGATGAGCAGGCAGGGCTGCAGCTGGGCCTCCTTCCCTGCTGCCCTCAGGAAACAGCTGTGGGGCTCTGTGCGCTCTGCGTTTTAGCGGGCGGCCGCGAGGGGGCGCGCGGGCACCGCCGCAGGAGGCAGCGGCCTGGGTGGGGAAGGGCGGAGCTGTGGGCCCCCGAGGGAAGTGGGAAGCTGCGTGGGCTGAGCCGTGGTTCCAGCGAGTGCTGCAGCCTGCGAGGACCCTGCGCCGTTCCTCAGTCAGGTTCGGAGCTGAAGCAGTGAGTCAGAGGGACCGGGCGCCCGGAGCGGCCCGGCAGCGGCTCAGCCGCAGCACCCGCTGGGCTGGGCCCGGGCAGCGTCTCCGGACCTCTCTGTGAGGAGGCGCCGTTTCCGTCCCGGAGCACTTTCCCGAGGCGCGGGGCTCCGGGAGGGCGGGCTGCGGCGTGGAGGGCGCGCCGGTCGCCCGGGTGGTGGTGGCGGCAGAAAGGGGCTTGAGGGACGGGAAGGCTCGGGGAATTCGAGGGAGAGGACGCCAGGGGGCTTTGGAGCTCAGCGCTGTGAGGATGAGAGCACTGACAGGACCGCCCTCAGCTTCTCTGGACTCAGGTGCCTCCTCAGACAAGGTTAGAGGGCTTTGAGGGGCGAGGCTTCCTTCAGGGATCTGGGCTCAGGGCTGTAGAAGTCAGGGTGAGGCTGAGGGCTGCAGAGAGAAGGCTTAGAGCCCTGTGCCCAGGGTCTTCACAGGCGCCCAGCCACGTGTGCGAAAGTGTGTTCTGGGGATTTAGCTCAAGGCATAAGAACCTGCTTTGTAAGCAGGCGGTCCTGAGTTCGATCCCTGGTACGGATAAAAATGAAAGTGTGTTCTGTGCGAGGGTGAACTTAGTCCTTTTTTATGATCCTGATTTTGTTTCAGTTTTTAACTCTCCTTTCACTTGGACAGTGTACAGTTTCTCTGGATATGCGTTTTTCATGTTGTATTTTCAGGTCTTCTCAGTGCCTGTGGTCGTGTGTTGAGAGATTCATAGATCCAGTTCCCTATTTTCCTACTCTAGGGGAAGTGTGACCTTTTTATGACTTTGGTTATTTTTAGGTACATATGCATTTGAAAGACTGGTAATTCTAGGAAGATTGTAGGGTTAATACAAAAGTCTCATAAAGTCCATCTGTACAACAAAGGTAATGTGTTTTCAGACTCCTAAATGCAAGGAGTGTTAAAATGACAGGAGTAAGTTATTCTGCCCAGCGTTACTGAGAATGCTTATATTATCAATAGTATTGTTTTTAGGATGGGTGAAAGAGTTACCTGTTTTAGCTCCCCAAAAGAAGAACAAAGGAGAAATTGATACGTTAAATATAATGATGTTCATTACCTTAGTTGCCTTCAACTGCAGGAGACATGTATGCAAATATAGAAAAGCCAGGCACCCAGCAAATAACCAATGGCATTTGTAGATCACTCTCCTTTTTACTTCTGAATCATTAACACTTCCTGTCTCATCACCACCTTGACCTGTGCCTGAAGGTTCATCATTGTCCAGAGCAAATGTGGGGAAAGTACATCCCATACATGATGCTCAATAACATTAGCCTTAAAACAAAACAAAACAAAAACTGGTTTCAGAAACTTTAAAGTATCATGGAGACTTTTTTGATCAAATTTGTTTTTCTGGGCAGTATTTTGTTGCTTTCTCAATTACTTTTAAGTTTATAGCTAGATAACATATTAGCAGTGAAAACACGAAGGTCCTGAGTCATTAATTTCAGGATTTGTCACTGAATCATTTTTCACTTCTGCTCTGAACATTCCTACAAAGCTATCACTGCGTTAGAGTAGACTGCAACAGGAGAAAATGACGGCAAATCTGACTCTGATAAAAAACCTAAACCAAAAAAAAGAGAGAAAGAATTTGACTCTTCTGTTGAAAGACTGTGGATTTCCTTGTGTCCTGTTACTGACCTCCCACCTATTCCAGTGTCTTCTCTGTATTAATTCTATTGATGAGCTGTGTTGTCCCTCCCTTCCAATCCATAACACTTTGTGTCACACTGATTTTCCTAGAAAGTTTAGGTCCCTTTATTATCTCTTGCCTTGTGTATTTGATTTTGCTTACTTGGATTTAAATTCCTCAAAGACAGGGGCCTGAAACTCTTAGTTTTCAGACATGTTTAATAAAGCACATCTACTAGCTGCGCAGCAATTGTTAACACTAGTGGCTATATAAATCTAGTTGAATGTGAGACTTCCGTTTTGTCCTTGTGTCATAAATATTTTATTTTCCAAAGTAAACATTTAAATAAAGAATACAAATAACTTAATTCATAAATTAATAAATTATTTCCAACTGTGGGACTCTACTTTTAAATGCAGTACATTTCTTGCCAGTCACTGAATGAAAATTCCTGAAGGCATTGTCCTGTCTCAGGGTCACAGAATGGCAGATTTTCAGTCTTGAAAGTAATCTGTAAGTCTGTTAATGATGGAAAAGTTCTACTGTCCAGGCACAAATGCTGTTCTCCTTGGCACTCAGGTACCTGCTGATCTTCCAGTCATAGCTCTTCAGGAGCAGAGTGGTCCTGGTGTCACTCATGGTCATGTTTTTTCCTCCAGTCTTTCCTGCAGGATCATTGACTTCAGATGATCCATCTGCTGATGGAGTTCATCAAGGAGGTTCTCCAAAATGGTCCCATTCCACATAGTGTTGGAGATGTTTTTTCTGAAAATACCGAAGATGTTCTTAAGCATCTCTTGGATGACAAGATCAGCCTTCTCCTTCTGGAACTGCTGTGGTTGCTTGATCTCTTCTGGAAATTTGAAATCGATCCTGTCCTGGTGGCAGTTTTCAGGCTTTCTTTTCACCTGCTTGAGAAGCTGCAGACAGGCCAAACTGCTGCTGCGTTGTTGTTGCTGGAGTTGAAGCAAGTTGTAACTTAAGGAAAGAGATGTCATGAAGGACAGCAGGAGAGCGATTTGGAGAATACATCTGATGGCCATGATGAGAACAGGAATGGTGTTTTCTGTTACCTGCACGGTGGAGCAAAGTCTCAAAAGTCTGCAGTGTGTGAGTGTCCTTCCTCCATGGGTGCAATCTGTTTATATGGGATGGTGCTCTCTGTTTCATAGGAATTTCCTGCTTTCTGTTCTCCCTTTCAGTTTTTCTGTATCATTTTTTTCTACATTTGATCACATTTGTGGCTCCATTTGCAGTAATAATCTGAATACAGTTGGTATATATTGTTACATTTGTAACAGTTAACTCACAACTGCCTGCTTGCAAGGCAGGTGCTTATGCTGCTGAGCTAAATTCCCAGCCCCTCCTTTTTCACATATTAAGCACCCTTGCTTAAAATTCTTCTTCCCATGGCCTAGGATTTAGCTGAGTCTCATAGGCGCCTTGCAAGTGCAAGGTTGTGAGTGCTATCCTAGGTACCAAAACCAAACAAACAACACCAAAATTTTCTCTTCTGGTCTTTGTAACATCACTACTATGTTTTTTCTATTGTTTTGCTTTGTCTCTTAGTGTGTCTTACCATTTTCCTACTAAATTAGGGTTTTAAAAATGTGTTGGGATGGCTTAGAAAAAAGTGTTAGATAGTCCTATGATTAAGTCTCAGTTTTGTTTTGCTTTGGTTTAAATTTTATTTCCTTGTGTTTTTGGTCTGCTTAGTGAGCTTTATTTTATAGAAAAAAGTAAAACAAACTTTCATAAAAAAGTAATAGGGGAATAACAATTGTTAACACATTGTGTATTTGTATCTTTACTTACTCAGAATATTTTTAGTTAATCAGTGTACATGACATGGACCTAAAATATTCTCCTAAAAGATATTAGTACCAAGCCTTTTCTTTACAAAGGACTAAGAGAAACTAGTATAACTACTTAAAAAAATTTTTTTTCCATTTCCTCGTGGCTCAGGTTCTTAGTGAGTCTATGCCACTGAAGTGTGAAGTTTACCAGTGTTTGTCTGAACATCTCCATCCCTTACCTCCATTTCTCTTTCCCTTAACCTTGGAGTGTGTCCCTCACCCACATGGGAAAGGTCTGCTGTTGGTGTTCCTTTCAGTGTAGTCAGTTGGCCTCTTGTAATACCTCCAGCAGGTAGGGCTGTGAGTAGCTACTTTCTCCCCAGGGCAAATATTGTTAGGAAGAATGGGATACTACACAATGGCCCCCTCCAACTGGGAGCACGAGGAAACTTTTCTTTGATGTTTCAACTCTAAGAGCATAAGAGTCTTTCTATAACTAGTTTTTCTAAAGTTTCAAAGTCATCATTTTAAACCTTCAGCGATTTTCATTTTCTGTTCACATTTCTCTAACTTCCTACTGAATGTGCAGTGTTTTCCAAATGCAAGGTCCTGTTTCCAGGCAGCTGTGACTCCTGATTCTCATCTGTTTGTCTCTGAGATCTTGGATATTCATTCAGAATCCCATTGAGAACATAAAGTTCTTCAATATTAAGTAATATATATGTTAAAACTAAAGTCGAAGGAGTATATGTTGCCATTTTAGGAGGTATTCTTAAATATGAAAAATGTTCTACTATTGCCTTAATAAATTTGGTGTTTTCTGAGATTCACTCCAAGATATTTTATCCCATCATATTTTATACTTTGTTATGGATTGTTGTAGTTACTTTTTGCTCATTGCTGAGACAAAATACCTGAAGCCCAAGTTGGGAAAGAAAGGTTTATTTCTTACAGGTTTTGGAGGTTTCACTCCACACTCAGTTGATTTCAAGGCAGGCGGGCATGGCTGGGCCGCCGTTCATGGTGGCCACCAATAGGAAACAGGAACTGGCAAAGAGCAAGACACACTTTCTTCCTGCCATTACATCACATCCTGGCTCCACCCCTTTGTGGGTGGAGCACTGACACCATCAATCTAAGCCCTAGACAATGAAGAAATAATAAATGCACAATTCAAACTCATGAAGCCTGGGGGACACAGATGTAAACCATAACATGGATGTAATCATGAACAAAAATCAATTTCAACATGTGTTCTAATTTTGAATAGGAATAATGTGCATTCCTGTATATGGTGGTTATTTTTGAACACATTTTAATTTTTCCCTTCTAATATGGCAAATGTTCATACATAGAAAGAGAATCAAAGGTTCTTTGTAGTCTCTATAATTTTAAAGATGTTTTAAGGTTGTGTCAATTCTTAGTGAGTCCAAAGGATTTGAAAATTACTGGTGTTGGTAACAATTACAAGTACCTCCTTTGATGGTTAACTGGAGATGAGTATTGTGGGCTTTTGGTGTAATATTACAGTGTATTCTTTATTCCTTGTCCTGTTTCAATCACAGTAGAATAGTGTGGTGTTTTTCTGAGCAGAGATACTCACTGTGTTGGCTCCTAACTATACTTGTATACCTAGTGTAAAATCTGTCCCCTCTCGAGAGACTATGCCAATGTGGATGCCAAGTAATAATTATATAGAAGTGTACATAGAGCCCAGTTGAAAACCAATACCCTCAGGCTTAGGATTTAGCTCATCAGGATAATCACCTGCCTGGCAAGACCAAGGTCATGAGTTCCATCCCAAGTACAAAAAGCAAAACAAAACAAATGAAAACAAAACAATCCGATTCCCTCTACACTAATGCAATGTGTGGGAATTTCATAAAAATTCCTAATAAAACTGGAAAGTTTGCTCAGCTGTGGAGAGTTTCTGTAAAACTCGAGAGCCACAAGCAAAAACTTATATTCCACAGTGGGAAGAATATATCTTTTGATTTCCACTTGCTGACTCGCTCACCCTTCCTTAGTGCCAGGCTGCTCCTACCAATACTCTGGTTTCTCCTTAACCACAGAAATGATCAGACGTTCGAAGAGAGAATCTCCCATCAACTGTGAAGAGGCAGACCTTGCAGGCAAGACCTATGTGCTGTTGTTTTCAAACCCTGTATTTAACCCTGCCCACAACCCAGTTGTCTTGATTCAGACCTTCAGTTAGAATGACTCTCACTGTCTAGCGTGGATGTTTGCTTCCACAGTGAAGACCATAAGTATGAGGGACAATCACCTTTCTAAGGGATGATTGCTCCTGCTGTGGGATGTACTGGAGTCTCAGCTTGGCAATCTTTGCTGGAATCCAAGGAGAATGCAGATGCACAGCAATAACTAGAGACTTCTAGGAGCTCAATGGAGTGGATAAAAAAGCTGATAGATATATGTTCCTCTGAATCTATTATCAATGAGTTTTCAGTGATGAGGTGGAAATGAGATAATTTGATTAAACTTATGGGTAATAAACCCTTGCTATGTTTTGGACACACTTATTTGTCTGCCCTTATAGAGAGTTGAACAGAGGTCTGACTCATAGTTTTAAGGTAATAAAGGATACAAATACATTAGAAAAGCAGTAATGGCATTTTTTAAATGTACTTCTTAGACACTTGTAGATCCAAATGGAAAGTCACTGTTTGTTAAGAAAAACAGCTTTTAATGTTCTGAATGTCTCTAAAGAAAAAAGAAGTCATGATTCATTCACTAGGTAAGAACTGCTTGTTTTCTGTTCTTTGTGATCTCAATCGTTTTGCTTTCTCATCTGATCTATTCATAGAAGCCATCATGGCTTTAATCATGCACCTATTTCTTGAGGTTGATTTGGGAGAATGAGGGAATAGCAAAATAACACGTACCATAATTTTAATGGGCCATGAAATACTTTGTCATGTTCTGAGTAACAGTGAGAGGTTTACCTGTACACTGTCCCATTGTGGCCTGTGACTTTTTTTTTTTTCATTTTTCTTCCTGTTAATTACAGGATCCTGCTTCTAATAGATTAGTTTGCCAGGGCCTGTATGTAATGTCTCATTGTGAAGGTGAAGACCTGCTATCCCAAAATATGACTTTGTGAAAATTGAGAAAACCTCAGAAGTTAGGTGATCCAACCGTTTGCAAGAAATACATTTAACTGAAAAAGAAACTGATGGACTAAAAGTCAAAGGATGTAAAATGATGATCTATGCAATAGTTTACCAATTCTGTTTGTAGATAATTTGAACTTCCAACCAAAAATGATCAGAAGAGATAAAGAAGGTCACTGAATAATTTTCTGATGGGAAAGTTCAAGAGGAAATTATAACAATCATAAATATGTGTGCACCAAATATGAGAGCACCCAACTATACAAGACAGATCTTAATGTGCATGAAAAATGTGCAGTAACACAATTGTAAAAGGGACCTTCATATGCCATTGTCAAAAAGAGATAGTTCGAGTACACAAAAGGCAAATAAATCCCAACAGAGTCAAGTATGTGAACAAATGGACTTAATAGGCATTTATAGGCCATACCCAGCTTGTCTAAGTGGCTAGTAGGGCCCTGAATCAAATCTAGGGAGCTGAATATGTGTGAGTTGATTCCCAGCCCATGGAGGAAGCTTTGGAATGTGGCTGCCAGCAGGTAAGACCATGCCCAGTGACCCAAGTCACCAGAGGATGCACAAGACATTCCAGTAGGGCTAATGGGCCACATCCATTGACTTACAAGAGGCTAGAAGGGATCTGCCTTCAGTCCCAGGTTCCAAAGTTGGGCCAGGTGATCTGGAGCCCATGGGGAAGATTTGAAACATCACTTGAAACCAGAAATATAGGAAAATGACAAAATGAAAGAGCAAAATGCAATCTCAAACTTCCAGCCCAATCTTCTTAGCAAGCCTAGGAGATATTGACACAGAAGAAAATGTAAGCCATACACCTGAAATTCCTGAAATGATTAGAACAGAAGTAAAGAAAAAAATGTGGGAAAGTATAAAAGAACTCAGATCAAAAATAATCTCTCAGATAAAAGAAGAAATGATAAATGAAAGAACTGCCAACCACATCTAAAAAACACATAGTTTAAAAATTACAGAAACACCACCAAAAGATAGAAACCTTGAATGAACAATATAAGAAACAAACAGAATGCATGAAACAAATTCAAAGAGATGTACAGGAAATCAAAAATTCCTTTGAAAGTTGTCAAAACCCCCTCAACA